TCATTTTTGGAAGAGCAAACTGTCTTCCAATTCAATAAATATATTTAATTTTGTAGATTTATTATTTCCGCCCCCACAAAAAATTCTGACGAATGGAATATTTGATCTCCTTTCTTACCCAGACTAGTAGTTTATAGAAGAGGAGATAATATAAGAGGATAGTTGATAAGACTAAATTAAGAAGAGTGATCATTCCCCCATAAGGAAGATGGCGACTCTTCCAAGTAGTTAAGTGTTTCTCAAACTTAATTATCAAGAAGAGGTTGCCAATCTCCTCACAAAGTTCCCCCATTTTTTATGGCTGACCAAGATATATAATAGGGAGATCTTCTAATATATAACTTAAAAGTTGAGCAAGAAGGGTTCCTCGATTTTGGATTTTTCCAAAATAAACAAGAGAAGATTTAGAAAATTTTGTCACCAATCCTGAATCTTCTTCGAAGAAAAAAGGATAGCTTTAAGAACTCTAATATCATTTCTCGACGCCTTGCAAAAAATAAGAGTATCATCAGCAAATTGCAAAGATCAAATATGATTTAACTTCCCTTTTGATTCTAACTTTGACCCCGCTTAATTTTCAATGTTTTTTAACAAGCATCTTGTTTAATACATCAGCAACCAAAATGAAGATCATGGGTGATAGGGGATTGCCCTATACTCCTCTTTTCGGCATAAAAGCTACTGATGTAGAGCTATTAATAAGAATAGAAGAACTAGAGGAAGAGATGATGGATTTTAACGGTCCAAATCATCTATTTCCCGGGAGATCAAGGATAAAAGACCAATTAATACTATCAAAATCCTTTTGAAAATCAACCTTGAACGTGACAGCCTCCTTCTTGCTCTTCGAACAAGAGTCAATCATCTCATGCACAATAATAATAAAGTCGAGAGTTGATTTCCCACTCTAAAAGGCAATTTGGGATTCATCTACAAAAGCGGAGAGATGAGGGGATAGTCTATTTGTAAGAACATTTGTAAAGATTTTGAATATGCTATTCGGGAGACTTGTAGGACGAAAATCTTTAATTAAATGAGCCCTATCAACCTTAGGTACAAGAGCAATTAAAGCATGATTTACCCTCGAAAGTGAAGAAGCACTACAAAAAGAGCTCCGAAAAAAGACATAAGGTCATCTTTTATCACCTCCCAAAAATGTTGATAGAACAACAACGAGAAACTATCAGGACCTAATGATTTTGAAGGATTCATATTAAATACTGCTTCATCTTCAGAAAAATTAACCTCCAATGCAGAAAAATCATCATGAGGAGAGGGATATACAGATTCCCAATTAATCTGCATGGAGGATGTTTTACGAGAGGCAGAAAAAGACCTCTAAAAGTAATTAAGAAAGGCGTTTTTTTTAATCCTCGTCAGAAAGAATAATTGTATCATCATTATTAACAGACAAGATGAAGTTCACCCTCCTCCTTACCGAGGCAACTTTGTGGAAAAAAGAGGTATTAGAATCTCCTTCGCGAAGCCAATTAAATTTTAGACGTTTGCTTCCAATAAGCTTCTCCATCAAGAATGAATTTCTGAGTATTTTCTTTGAGGGAGTTCCAAACCTGAAGTTTTGATGAGGATAAAGGTCTCACTTCTTCTGAGACATCAGTGGATGGATTTTTTTTTCTAGATGTTTAAAGAGATATTTCTTCCAACATTTAACACGTCTTTTAAGAAGATATAATTTTTTTTGGCAAAACAAGCTACATGATCACCGGTACGAGGAAAAGACCTCCATGATGAAGATACAATGTCCTCAAACACTCTTAAATTTTTATTGTTCAACATAAGAATTTTTATAGAAGTCACATCCTCCTTTCGACCTTCACAAGAAACGATTCAAATAGGTAATGAAAATGTCCACGTGCAGGCACGTGTAGTATACTAGCACCACTAACGCGTAGGAAAGCGCCCGACGCGACTAGTAATGCACACCTGACAGTCATCCTTCGGCACGATTGTTGGTACGTACGCGATCTCATCGCAACCGTCTGTTCTGCACCTCTTGAAATCAAGCAGCGAAGCGAACAAAGCGATGAACAGGACCAGATGATTCATCGCGTATCGTTGGCCCACACACTGGTGGGCCCCAGTTCCAAATGTCAAAAAGTTCCTCTTAAAAACTCGGTCCTCCAGTCTCTCCTCACCGAACCGGTCCGGGTCGAACCGGTCTGGTTCAGTAAACCCCTGAAAAGACGATTCAAACACGGAGGGAAAAACAATTGTGCCCTTGGGGATGGTATACCAGTCCGTTAGTGGAAAATCCTTACCGGCAATGTGAGGCACCATCGTCGCGGGGGGGCGGAATCTCAGGACTTCCCGCGCCACCTGCTCCGTATACTTCATCTCGCGTATCTGCTCAGCGGTGATCGGGTCACCACTTTCGGGTGACCAAATCACCGCGACCTCTTTTCTCACTCGATCCAGAACCTCTGGGTGAGATTCGAGTAAGGTTACCGCCCAAAGAAGGGATGATGTCGATGCGTCCTGTGCGGCGAAGAGGAAGTCGAAGAGATGACCTCCAATTTCAGCATCGCTAACCTCCGTGGTTTCTTTCATCGTTTCTTGCATCCAGAAATCAACTAAGCAGCTCGGCTCTTTTCCCGCCTTCATTTCCTTCTTGCTTTTCCACACGCAGCTCGACAACGTATTGATCAGTCGATTGACCGCTAGCCGAGCGTTGCGAAAAGCAAACCCAGGCAAATCCAAAGGGAACGCCATTAGTCCGACGTTAAAAAGGTTATAATCAACATTAAACTGGGTCCTTGCCGACGGGGTCAAGTACGGCCCAACGAAAGACGTCTGCGAAGTCTCAAGATTCATGTCTCGACACAAGAACCGGAGCTTAATCGGCTTCTCATGTCCAGACATCTCCACCCAGCGTCTCAAATGAGAAACGATCACATTGTGCTGGACTTGGATGTAAGTAGATAGCGCTTTCGGCGTGAAATTGGGCGCGATTCTCCGACGAAGATCTTTATGTGGCTGGTCGAACATGTAGATTAGATTGTGTTCGCCGAAGAGCTTCTTGCCGAATGCGTGGCCAATGAAGTGGAATGCGTCGGGGTGGACGTTGGCGAAGATTTTGTGGGAGAGGTCGGTGGAACGGACGAAGAGGATGAATTTGCCAGCAAGGAAGTTAGCGGAGAAGCCGGTGGGCTTCGCTGAGGTGGCTTGGTCGAACCAGAACTTGGTTGGGTTGAGGACCATGGGGATGGCAGAGCCGAGGAAGGGGACGATAAAGGTGGGGCCGGGGAGTGGGCCCTTCTTGCGGAGGTAGGAGAGTTGTTGGAGGAGGATGAGTAGGAGGAGGGAGGAGAGGAAGATTGACACGAGGAAGAAGATATCCATTTTGGTTTTGCAGTGAGAGAAGTGAGATCAGTGTGAGCTTTTATAATGGAGTGGTGGTTGTAGACGTGGGAAACGCGGCTGAGGGAGTTCAAAGCGGGGGAGTTAAAAATGAGTTATTTTTTAATTTGTATCCTCTCCGATATCAAAGTAGTGAATTCAACACTACCTTTAGTAACCGCAACTGATTATTTAATTAGTGATTGTAATCAACTGTAAATTTAATTCTCACCATACTTTCACTCACTCCTAATTCACACTCATAGAAAAATCATAACCATCTGTTAACTAATCAATTATTGTGATAGAGTTATGCTTCCTACACTATTATTTAATTAGTGATTGTAATCAACTGTAAATTTAATTCTCACCATACTTTCACTCACTCCTAATTCACACTCATAGAAAAATCATAACCATCTGTTAACTAATCAATTATTGTGATAGAGTTATGCTTCCTACACTATTATTTAATTAGTGATTGTAATCAACTGTAAATTTAATTCTCACCATACTTTCACTCACTCCTAATTCACACTCATAGAAAAATCATAACCATCTGTTAACTAATCAATTATTGTGATAGAGTTATGCTTCCTTCACTATATTTCTACATTTTTTTATAGTGAAAAGGCCGCAGATCCATTATTTTTGGGGATAGTAAAGAGGTTGAATTCAAAAGACTAGTCCAGAAAGTTGAGGAGCATTAGAGTGCGTTTGGCAATCTCTTAAAACTAGGCCAGGATTAAACTTGGCCTTAGTCCTAACCTAATTTTGGGTCTATTTATTATTGGAAAAAATAAAGTCAGTGTTCACCCAGTTCTTCTTAGCCCCAAAAGAGACGATAAAACCAATATAGTATGGGACCACCGCCCCCTTGATCCAACTTTGAACTTATTTAGAGCAGAACTAGGTCATGATGAAACCAGACACGGTTTTACGTGGTTGCCAAAATACACTCTTAAAATGTGTAGAAGATTTGGAAGAGAGAAATAAGATAGGGAATATTCGAAGATTGAAGTACGAAGAGACACAGAGAAGAAGAAGAACTTTCTAGGGGGCTTCGATGAGCAATTTTTTCTGTGTTTCAAAAGAGAAATTTTCACTTTTTATATAAAGGCTTTTCCTGAACTACCCCCCAGGAACTGCACTAGATATTCTCTCCATATTCTTCTAACCATTAACCTCACTATTTCAATCGCACAAATATTTCATCTGTTGTGACTAAGTTGGGAGATTTGGTCAAATATAGACTAAGTTAAGCTAACATCTCTCACTTGACCAAATTAACCAAGTGATATGCCTCCCACTATCCATGAGAAGACATGTTTCTCTTACTCCCACTATCAGTGGGTAGTAATTTTTATTTTATTATTCATAAAATTATACTTGGACTTATTATTTGGTGGAAAATTTGTGAAATGAAAACAATAAAAGAATTGAATGGTTTATTCTCTCCAACTGCATAGAAAAAAAATATTTACAACTCTCTCAATCTCAATACAATTTGAATTTACTTATTATAAAAGAGAAGAGAATTGATGCAAATCCTCCTTTGTTTAATTCTGGGTACTTCACGGTGGCGATGAGATGCCTCCCTCGAATGCTCACGTTGAGTTTGCATTTCGTTGACGATCCGATATTTTTTTTCACTAGAACGATATCTTCTCTCACGATTTTACGCTGTGGAGAACTTGCATGATAAGTTTTAAAGAACTCTTGATGAGTTGATAACTCTGAACGAGTTTGAAACTCTATGAAAGAGTTGATTTAACCGAAATCAGTTTATAAGCCAAGGGAATGCTCCAAGAACTTTCTTCCTGCAGGAAGCTCGAAGATGATCTGTTTTCGAGAAGATGATCCGAAGAAGCCGATCTCTAGATCTCTAAGATACTTTAAGATCCAAAGATCTGATCTCTATTGAGTTTACTCCTATTTATAGGGGATTAAGGGTGTAACCGTCCCCCTTAATTCTCTCCATAATGGGGTTGAATGGGGTATAACCGCCCCCTTAATCTGCTCCTAAATGGGGCGGAAATCCCTCCAAATGTGGGGGGAGGGGGGAGGGTTCCTAAAACCGTTTAGCTCATATTTGAACGAGTCAAACGCCGAAAATGGCGTAGGCCCGAACTCTGCATTTTAGACTTAAAACACAGAGTTGAGCCTGTTTTAGGCTGAAAACGTAGTGTCCGCACAGCATTGTAAATCTGAAACGTAGAGTTGGGACGCAGAGATGAACTTAGTGTTTTGGACTTGTGATATAGAGTTGGGCTCTGCATGACCTATGCGTTTTGAGTCCACGAACTCTGCGTCTGGACTTGAATGCTGGGGATGGCCTCTGCGTTTTGACTCTAGGACACGGGCATGACCTCTGTGTTTTGATGGTGTAATACAGGGATGACCTCTGTGTTTTGATGGTGAAATGCAGGGATGACCTCTGCGTTTTGATGTGAAGAGACCATCAATTTGTGGTCTCTTTTGCTAGAGCGTTGTAAAGACTGTCATCTTGTAATCTTCATCTTGGTTCCTTGAAAATATAAGAGTTGTCAGATTGTAAATCCCGATGTTGATTGTGAATGCTGTTGAACTAGAGCTTTCATCAGTTATTGTAAAGATCATCAGATTGTAACCTTCATCGATTGATGCGGCATAAACATGTACCAAAAAGGTTGCAAGTGCACAACCGTGTCAAGTTATAGTATTTAAGATATCGATCTCACGAGGAAGGTGTTTTGTAGGAGAAAATATAAAATCAGTTCTTATGATGTGTGCGTGACAAGTAGGAGTGATTAGTGAATGTGATTGGGAAGAGATTGAGATAGTAAAAATGGTGTGTAAATGGGTGCAAAGTGTAAATGAGAGTGGATGTAAAAGAGAAGGAGTATGATCAATAAGGTGAGAAGAAAAAATGAATAAAATCAAGAAACAAATAAAAAAAATCAAGAATGAAGAACAAAATTCTAGAATAAAAGAAAATGCAAGAAATTAAAGATGATGGATTCAATTATAGATATGGGTAATCTAAAATTGAACCCACTTCTTAGAAAAGGGTGATTCCCTAGAGGGTTCTAGCCTAAAGGCGAATCAAACAAAATAAAAATAAAAGAAATAAAAGAGAAAAGAAATGCAAACCTTCAAATTGCTCTTCATCTCCATCCTCATCATTCAACAAGAGGAGAAAGAACAAATTTAAAGAGGAAAAAATTATTTTTATTAATTGCAACTAAAGTTATAATTTTTGGAAGGCCTTCTCAATTAAGAGTAGCCCTCCTCTCCAAAAGGAGTTTACAAAATTTTCACACCTCTAACCCCTCACTCTCTACCCCTATTTATAGTAAACATCAGTGAATGAGAGCCATTGGATCAAACTTGAGCCTCAAGACAAGCAAAATCAGCCATTGACGCGCGCTACAGTAATCTGGTATCGATGCAGGCATCGATGCAGGTATCGATGCCAGCATCGATGCCCACATCGATGCCGACATCGATGCCCATTATTTTCAAATTCTGATTTCACGGATAGCTTCGTCTCGTCGAGATAGGCGATTTTCATATATTATATGTTAAATTCCGCCTTCCGGGTTAGGAGATATCGTCGTTTCTTTGTGGCCAACCATTTTGAATATGATTTCTTTTCATATTGGATTTTTGATTTTCTCCGGCTTCTACAGGCTACACGACTTCATTCTGGGCTTTTGGATAATTTGGAAATTGATTTTCCAATGTGCTTCTTTGCTTCATTTCTTCATTTAATCAATGGGTTTTTGTTGAGAGATGGGAAGTTGAGATTTATTCTTCATTAACCTGCAATTAAAAGATAAAAACAATTATTAGTGGTATATTTATTCATATAAAATAGATAATGAGGGTATAAAATTGTAATAAAATATGATTATCAAATACCCCCACACCTAAACTTTTGCTAGTCCTCTAGCAAAGAAAATAAAAAGAAAATCCTAACTCACTTTCGCAGGAATCGCGGTTGTATTTAGCGTATACAACAAGCCTTTAAACCCCTAGGTTACCCTAGTGGACGAGTTGTAGTCTCGTGAGGGTTTGCAGTGAATATACCCACAAAATTCGGTCAACTTGCCAAATTAAAGAAGTCAGTAAATAACTAAATTCACTTGATAACTTTTAGATAATCTAATTGGAGCCAATTATCACTCAAGAAAACATTTTTATATATAACTCTAAGGTATATTTTTAAGAAAATCTTCTCATTGTAGCAATACAAAACCAAGCCAAACTTAGAAATTTAATTTAAAAGTTTTAAAAAGAACATGCTATACTCTTTGTTTTAAATAATTTTCAAGCTGCTTGATTTAAAATATTTTCCAAGACCATATATACAACTATAAAACATTTATTAGTTTTTTTAACTCTTTCTTCCTTGGTGATTTTTTTCTACTTTAACGGGCTTTCTAAGTGACCATTTAACGAGTTTTAGGCCAATGGATCCCAACCCAAATGGGCTTAGGTCATTAAGTATGGAAATACTCATTGGGCTTAATTACTCGGTCAGCTTAGGCTTTATAAGATAGAATCACCTAGAATTCAAGAGTATTATTTTTTTTCTTTTTGGTGCCCATTTTTCGCACTCTTCTTTTGCAATTTTTTTTTTGTATATGTATATATATTTTGAAAATATGTAAATCAAGACACTTTGAAAAAATTATTTTCAACTCTAAGTTAAGCATGCAAAAATTTCATTATTTTAAATAAAAATCCAAGTTAAGGCTTAAATAAAGTATACTACTTTGAAAATCATTTCTTAAGAAATTTATTTAGAGTTATCATAAAAGGTGATCTTAAGTAAATAACCAACTAGGGATTAGAAATTTTCAAATTTATCAAATAAATCAATTATTACATAACTCCATCAATTTGGAAAGTGATGATATTTTTATAATTTTTTTTAAGAAAAAGGGGAAAATGTAAAATGTAAAATAAAGAGAAAAAATAACTAATTCCCACCCCCACACCTAAATTTTGCATTGTCCTTAATGCAACTCTATGATGAATAAAGTAA